TATATATATATATATATGTTGACCAGGCTGTGTAATATAATTAGCCCATTAGGCCAACAACTCTCTTCCTTTAAATCATTCATCACAATTATCAGAGGAAAAGCTCAGGAGCAACAGCATGGATCAAAGTCAAAAGCAGACTCTGTTAAAGGTCGCTAAGCTTAAGCTTCCTTCGGTAGGTTCTTAATTATGACTTTTCCTTTCATTTTCTTGGTGTTTTAGCAAGGAAAAGTCATGTTTTCAGAATAATATATGATGAGGACTTCTCTTTTTTGCAACATCAATTAATGGTGTTTCAACTTGTTTAGTTTCTTATGAGGGTTGGTGATATTAGTTTCAGGTGGTGGTGGTGAATGCAAATTTGGGATGCACACATTGCAGACACAGAATATCTCAAGTCATCTCAAAGATAACAGGTGAGAAAGAGTACACTTCCCGTAATAGTAATTTTTTTGGCACAGTGTTACGCATGATGGGCAAGGGGAGCCGTGGCGTAACTGGTAAAGTTGTTGTCATATGACCAAGAGGTCACGGGTTCGAGCCGTGAAAATAGCCTCTTGCAGAAATACTGGGTAAGACTGTGTATAATAAACCCTTGTGGTCCGGTTCTTCCCCGAATCCCGCGCATAGCGGAAGCTTAGTGCACCGGGCTGCAGTGTTAGGTATGAGGAAGTCACTTTCCATTGAAAAAATACTCTCCATCGAAAGTGTTTTCAACGAGGAAGTAATTTTCTGGTGTTTGGTTAGGATGACATTTTCCTTAAAGAAATTACAATTACGAATGTGCATAAAGTCTTGAATTTCAACTTTTGTGACCAAACTTGGCAGGGTTGAGGGAGTATACAATAGATGTTGGGAGAAAGCAAGTGATTGTTAGAGGAGATGTTAGAAATCATCACCAGGAAAAACATGGTGGAGTAAAGAGCCATATGATCAACGAGAACCATAGCAGGATTTTCGCGTTCTTTTTTAGTTTACTGAGCTTCCGTTGGATCACTACAAAAAAGATAGTTGATTAATCGAATACATATTCTTTTAAGTGTTTATTTGTTGGGAATCTTGTGTTTCCATTTGTATACTATGATTTTCTCCTTTTGTTTTCATGTATAAAAAACCAGTTTCTTTATATTCTGTCCCCTATCTTTATTGGCTATTGCAGTTAAGCGATCTCCTAAAGCAGGTGTGTTTCCTTGCTAATTGACTAGCAAAAGGAAAAAAAGAACAAAAAAGACTTCCAGATAAGAAAAACATGAATCAGTTCAACAGTTAACTAAATAAAACACTTTTGTTAACAAATATGGAGAAAGGCAGTGCTGCTCAAGTTCTAAAAGAAGAT